GCTGCGTCGCCCACCTGGCTTCACTGGGTCTTTCCCTCCTGGTACCCAGTGGAGTCTCCGGCGTCCAGTCTACGGTCTCCGCCAGGCGCCACGTGAGTGGCACGACACACTGAGGACTACGCTCGCGGCACTTGGGTTTGCTCCTTCTACTGCCGACCCGTCGCTGTTTCTGCGCACCGACACCTCTCTGCCGCCGTTCTACATCCTCGTGTACGTCGACGACTTGGTCTTTGCCACAGCTGACACTGCTGGACTCGCCTACGTGAAGTCCGAGCTGCAGAAGAGACACACGTGCACTGACCTGGGTGAACTGCGCAGCTACCTTGGCTTGCAGATCACCCGGGACAGAGCACGCCGCACCATTACCCTGACTCAGTCACACATGGTGCAGCAGGTCCTTCAGCGCTTCGGCTTCACGTACTCCTCGCCTCAGGCCACTCCTCTGCCTACTCGCCACTCGCTCTCAGCTCTGCCTTCGGATGAGTCCGTAGAGTCGAGTGGCCCGTTTGCAGAGCTTGTTGGCTGCCTCATGTACCTGATGACCTGCATACGACCTGACCTCGCATACCCTCTTAGCATTCTCGCACGCTTTGTTGCTCCTGGGAGACACCGACCAGAGCACATGGCTGCAGCGAAGAGGGTGTTGCGCTACTTGTGCAGTACGTCGGGCATGGGGCTAGTGCTTGGAGGGCGCAGTCCAGTGGTCCTCACTGGGCACGCAGACGCTTCTTGGGCTGACGACCAGGCTACGCAGCGGTCGTCACAGGGTTACACCTTCAGCCTTGGTTCCGGCTCTGTCTCGTGGCGGGCTACCCGCTCGTCTTCGGTTCTCGGCTCCAGTTGTGAGGCTGAGATCTACGCTGGGGCTATGGCTGCACAGGAGTTACGCTGGCTCACCTACCTGCTGACCGACCTTGGAGAGCAGCCTCGTTCTCCTCCAGTCCTGTACGTAGACAACAAGGCCATGCTGGCCTTGTGTCGAGAGCAGCGACTGGAGCACAGAACGAAGCACATTGCTCTCCGCTACTTTCTTGCTCGTGAGCTACAGCAGCGTGGACAGTTGCGACTTGCGTACGTGGCCTCTGAGGCCAACACTGCTGATGTCTTCACCAAGGCACTTGCGCCTTGTGATCATCAGCGTTGTTGCACGCAGTTGGGTCTTGTGCCTGTCTTGCCTCACTTGCTCTCCTCTTGACCTTGCTTGTACCTTCGCCTATATATACTCTTGCACTTGCTTGCTTGACTCTTGTATATCTCTATATATGATCTTGCATGTGAACTGGCCTTCTGGCCTTTGAACGTGTGCTCGGAATGCGTGGTGACTTTGTGATCCACCCTGAGCTTTCCTTTGCTTTGCTTGACTGGTCTTGTGACCCCTTGTTCTCCCCCACTTTGCCTATGGGGGTGTGTCAGAACATATAGCTTACTTGTTTCTGTAGGCTATAGTGGGGTATCCCATAGGGGGTACAACACAATTAGGGTTTCCTATTTGTATTCACTTCACTTCATAGTGATCCATCCTCGTTCACACTTTCTCAACCTTCGCTCCGGTCAGTCGCCACACCTCACTCCGAATCCTCATCGCCGTCGCCGCCATGAAGAAAAAGAAATTACGACAGATCGACGTTGCGAACGCATTTCTCTACGCACCTGTGGATGCAGAAATCTTCGTTGAACTTCCGCACGGCTCCCACGGCGAACCCAACCGAGTGTGTCAACTACTCAAATCACTCTATGGGATCAAGCAGGCACCGCGACTGTGGCAGCAGTACCTACACGCCCGCCTCATCCGCATCGGCTTCAAACAACTCCCGCATGACCAGGGCATGTATCGCCTCACAAAAGGAGGCGATTACGTCCTATTAATCGTCTATGTGGACGATCTTCTCTACATTGGGTCAACCGACAACATCGCCGCGTGGTTCGAAGGGGAGCTCCAGAAAGACCTCACGCTCACGGTCTCTTCTACGGTTACGCAATACCTCGGGCTCAACATCCGTGAGGAAGAAAACGCAATCTACCTAAGCGCCGAGAAGTACGCCGATACTATCGCGAAACGCTTTCGTCTCACACCAAGCGCCATCTCCACGCCTTATCGCTACGCGTCAGGAACCGAAAAGGGGCAATCTACTCTACTTAAACCCGCCGGCATACGCGACTATCAGAAGAAGCTAGGATGCCTACTTTTCGCAGCAGTCACGTGCCGTCCCGACCTATCCTACTCCGCGAGTCAGCTCGCTACCTATCTCAAGAGACCTGAAGCAGAGCATCTGGCGGAACTCGATCGTGCTCTCCACTACTTCGTCAGCACCGCGACGATCGGACTAACTTATCACAAAAACGTGACTACACCGACCAAACTAATCGGCTACGTCGACGCCGATCACGCCGGCGACACCGACAACAGACGCTCACGCACCGGCTATGTCTACCGCCTTGAGCCTATCGGTCCTATCTCCTGGCAGTCAAGCAAGCAGGAGTTAATCGCACTATCTTCAGCAGAAGCAGAATATATCGCACTCTGCTCAGCCACCAAGGAGGGACTTTACCTTCGCGAACTACTGGAAGAAGCGAAACTAGCCGAGTTACCCAGCTTCACCGTGTTCTGCGACAACCAGTCGGCAATCCGCATCGCCAACAAAAACGGCTTCGCAAACAGGACGAAACACATCGCCCTGCGCTATTTCTTCGTGAAGGACGAGATAGAAAAAGGGAAACTCGATCTGTCATACTGCCCAACATCCGAGATGGCAGCCGATTACTTGACCAAGAAACTCGGAAAGCAGAAGTTCGAATACTGCATGATGCTGACTGGACAAGGCCACGTCACCAGCAGCGACACTCCAGAAGCGAAGGGGAGTGTTGGAAACAATAAGTCCTAAGTGCGCTTCTGTCGTATCAAACCCAAGGCACCAAGTGAAGCAGTCCCAAACGAAGCATCGAGTCAACCTCGGAGGTTACCGTCATACCCCGGATATACCCCCATGGGGGGCAATAATAAAGCAGGTTTTTTTAGGGGGGTGGGCTTATAATCGAGTAAATTTATAAGCGCCGGCGATTATAAAATGACATATATGTTTTTATATATTTTTGAACACCATGCTGTAGATCTCGTGGTTGCCTTTTCAATCGAGACGAAGTTACATGGGGTCGTCTGTGAAATTCTCGCGCGCGCAGGGAGGTACACCCAATCTGACTCACATCCAGCTCCTGACAGCTCATGACAGCTCCCGCTGACTGGACCCGAATCCAGTGCAGGGTCCGAATGTGAAGGGAACCGAATCTGCAAAACATCTGCCTGCTAAAGTAGAAATCGTTAAAGCGTTTTGAACACATTTCAAAAAAATAAGTTTACGTGCGCTTATAATAAAACAAGTTTTTTCAGGGGGTGCGCTTATAATCGAGCAGGGGATATAAGCGCCATATGCCAATTAGAAGCGCCAGGCGCTTATCCTAGGGTGGCGCTTATATCCGGGGGGTGACGGTAGGGTAACCGCCTGGAGGTTACGAGAAAGTCAAAGGTCGCTGACCTTTGACTCGACAATCACAGCGCGACAGTCAAGGACACACAACTGACTCGTTACAGAGCAGTTGCCCGAGTCGCACTGTATCGAACCGCAACAGCAATACAGTTATCTACCTATCTATTCGTATTCCCTGTACTCTTATATAAATCCTTGTACCTATTTGCTTGTTTAAATTAATCTACTTTGCTCTCACACCAGTGCAAGGTCGGTTCACAATCCTCATTAAAACGCTTCCGATATTACAAGTTTCTACCCAAGAGTTCTCCTTTGCAAAGATCCTAAGGGCTATTTCTCAGTCCAACAGCAAATACATAGTAGTCAGTCACTTCACTTAGCTTCTGTTCACTACCGGTAGATTTTTTTAATCCATTTTTTGAAGTAAAGAGGATGAAAAAAAAAAATTGTACATAACGATCATAATAGGTTGCTTCGCAACCCAAAAATAGTATTCTTTCACTGAGCTGCCAGGATACTGTTAAAATATAGCACTGACATTTCAGGATACCTCACCCTGTGCAGCCCTGACAATTTAGGGCAATTTCTGATTTCCTAAAAACTGCCCTGAGGCCTCAGTGTACCCCCAAACGAATCTGAGGACCTGTATAAGGGTATTCTCCGCTGAGGAGATCAATGCTCATGTCATGTGCTGTACTAACAGGTTCAACATACCTTCATCTCACATCATGGTGAGCTTACACAAAGGTAAGACTACTGCCATCTAAAAACAGTGTTATGGTACCGTCACCCCCCGGATATACCCCCATGGGGGGCAATAATAAAACAGGTTTTTTCAAGGGGGTGGGCTTATAATCGAGTAAATTTATAAGCGCCGGCGTTTATAAAATGACATTCATATTTTTTATATTGTTTAACACCAAACTGTAGGTCTCGTGCTTGCCCTTTCAATCGAGTCGAATTTACATGGGGTCGTCTGTGAAATTCTCGCGCGCGCTGGGAGACACACCCAATCTGACTCACATCCAGCTCCTGACAGCTCCTGCTGACTGGACCCGCATCCAGTGCAGGGTCCGAATGTGAAGGGAACCGAATCTGCAACATATCTGCCTGCTAAAGTAAAAATCATTACAACGTTTTGTACACATTTCAAATTTTAAAGTTTACGTGCGCTTATAATAAAACTAGTTTTTTCAGGGGGTGCGCTTATAATCGAGGAGGGGATATAAGCGCCATATGCCAATTAGAAGCGCCAGGCGCTTATCCTAGGGTGGCGCTTATATCCGGGGGGTGACGGTACCGCATTCAACATGGATTATATCAGGCATTGATCTGCTTGACAGCGCAAACCTGCTCCTGACCCATAGCGCTCAATACAGAAACAGACTGCTCCTTGTCTTCTCCATGCCAGGCCTTGATCTGCAAGACATTAATATATATTAGTTGGCACGCCATGATAGACACGGTATGCAAACGAGAAATTCGGCTTCCAGTCAAATAATCCCGAATCATTCGTACCTGTGAGCTGAGAGCCTCGTCCGGGGGGAGGGGAAGATCGTCCCTCGTGTCACCCGTATGGCTCATAAGAGATAGCTGAGGCAACATGTCGCCACGAGTCAGGACGCCAATGCCACAAGCTGAGGAACAGCATGACACAAACTATCGACACTTACCATGCCTTCAGATGTAATGTCTAGGACTGTATAGTCGCTGAAGTTTACTTTTGGAACCTGTGAATACAAAAACCATCGATTAAAAACACAGGCGCGACGAACGAAGACTGCTATTACCGCCCACCCTCCCAACTCCCAACATAGTATGATGCAGATCGACTTACCTCGACACTGTGCGAGTACGGCGCCATCTCTTCCCACCGCTCCTTGGTGAATAAATCAGTTCCGACAAAATTGCACTTTTTGTTACCTTTCGCCGTAACAGTGATAGAAGTCTCCACCACCTGAGGATTCCACCCAAAAAACAAATCCCTGAGTCCTTTTGCCGTAGGCAATGAAGGGGCAAGCGACGGAGCGAGCAAACACCAGATCCTATGATAGTACCTTGCAAGGCCGTCCCGAAATTACAATGTATCCGCCCTTGTGGATACTTCCAGCGTCTCTCGAGTACGTCCCCGACGATTGGGGACCATCGTCCTGATACTCGTCAGCCATGGCTGCTCGCTGCCTTGCGAAGGTGAGCAGAGAAATTCTCTAAGGGTGAATGTCAAATATGATGGAGCAGTACATAAGAAATGATGTATAGCCTGTCCCTTCAAATGTGGTGGGGTGGGTTCTGAGTTCGAGCTCGCTAAAGGAGTAGCAAAGCAAGCCCGGCTCGCACGGCGCGGATCTGTGGGGAGGGGACTTGGTGCAGATTGTACGCACGGCGGACGGACAATGCGACGATAACTGCGATCCAACTACACCTTCCACGTGGGGACTGCGTACTGGCTGAACGCGCATCGTGTACTTGTCTGCACTTCCCGGGAGATGTGCCCCGTGCAGCGAGTACTTGAAAGCCTAGCCCTTTCGCCTCTCGCCCCAGGCCATGACCCACAGTCACTTGACCATCTACGAATTTACAGCGCGCACCGAGGGATACGGGACCGAGAATCCTGCCGAACGATAGTCACGTATGTGTTGCTGAATGCAGGACCGCTATCGCCTTCGTCGCCTACCCGAATTTTCTCGTTGAAGTTGTTGGTTGTAAATGCCTCGCGACTGTCTTCGTTTCACCCTACCTTCTTTCCCAACCTTCAGAACCCACGAGTATCTGGCTGGCTGGTCTGATCTGTTCAATTTTGCTCATCAAACCGTATCCAACCATACCTAATCATTCTACAACGTGTTTTGTCACCAGCAATGTTCTTACACCGAAGCCAGTCAAGCGCAAAAGAGAGTGACGGGGAGTGGGGCCACGTGGCGGGTGAGGCGGGAATTATGCGCAGGGTGTTCAGCACGAAATCCTCGTCCACGTGGAGGGTGGACTTCAAATCCATATGCGATGGTCTGGGTGGCAATTTCCAGCTCCCTTCAAGCCCACGTCTAGAATGGCAATTTCCAAGTTCAAGATTCTTGAAATTGTCGTCGTCAAAACACAAGGTAACCCGATTTGGGATGCTGCTCTCTCGCGACTCATGGGGAAGTGATTGAGGCGCAAGAAGGTGATTGGCCAACAGCACAGCAGACGAAACAGCGACGACCATCGCCAGAGAAAACAATAACTGCTTCCACTGTTCCCACTTCCGAAACTTGAAAGTCCAAGCTACCGTTCTAGACTCGTTGCGTAATAGACTAGATAGCCCATCGTTTCGTCATTATGCCGATTTTTACTCTCATCACAAAGGTCTTAGCTTATCTTTTGTTAGAAAACACGATATAGGTCACCCCCATGCCTCACGCCACTCACGATCCATTCGCTAGAATGCAGTATGCGCAGAATCATCTCACTAGAGGCTCCAGTAGCTCTCGTAGCATCCGTTGTTCCCGTAGCATCCGTTGTTCCCGTCGCACCCGCCCCTCCTGTCGCTCCCGCCTCTTCAGTCGCTCTCGTCCCTCCCGTTGCTCTCAGTCCCTTCCCGTCCTTCCCGCCGCTCCCGTCACTCCCGTCCTTCGCGTCGCTTCCGTCCCGCATTTTCCTCTCGTGTTTCGCTTCCCCTCCCGTCCCTCTCGTCCCTCTCTGCCGCTCGACTTCCGTCCCTCATTCGCATCGCTCACTCAATCCCGTCACGCACTCCCTCCCGTCGCTCGCTCAAACCCGCCGCTCACACAGGGCAGTCGCCTCATCGATCCCGCCGCTCACACACTCACACGTGACACTCACTCCCGTTCCGCACACGCCCCCGTTGCACACTAACTCCCGCCCGCCAATTCCTCTCGTCGCTCTCAGCTCTCGTCCCGCGCTCACTGAATCCTGTCGCTCACCTCGTAGCGTGTGGCACTCCCTCCCGTTCCGCAAGCGCAAGCATCCCGCACTCACTACCACGCTCACTCCCGTCCCGCTTCCTACCATCGTTGAGATTGCAGATGTTGTACATCTTACCTAGTGTATTCGCATCCAGATATATATACATATATATCGTGTGACTTATAACATCGCAGCGCAGCAAAATTTACGTGAAAAAGAGGTGGGGACTATGATGGTGGGAGGGGGCGAGGGGAGGGCGACTTGGGTCAATGACAGGGCGGGGTGGGAAGAGGGGCGCGCGAGTTGGGACGAGGGGAGGGCCAGGTGGGGCGCAGGGGAGCGCGAAGGGAGCGCGAGGTGGGCCTCACTGGCTGGGGGCTCAGCCGCCGCGCTGCCAGCCACCTGCCAGCATGGCAGCGCCAGGTGTGGGAAGAGTGACGTGGAGAGGTGGGGTATCATGGTATGTGCGCGCCACGTGGCGAGTGGGCGGCAACGCATGTGTTTGTGACCATGCACCCCACCCTCCACCCCCAGCATACGACCGCCGTGCCCCATCCCCCGGGGCGCGTCAGTGGGGGCGGCCATGTCTCCCCGCAACGCTCTGCTGCTGCCCGCCGCACCCGCCGCTGCTGTCAGGTAGCACCCGCCTTAGGTACCACCCGCCTAAGGTAGCACTGCTGTCGTCTCCCCTCAGCATCCCCAATTCCCCATGGTGCTGCTTTTCCTGCCATCCCCACAGCTCTCCTCCGCCGCTCTTCCCTTTACTATGTGGCATGGCATGTGCAGCACAGGCGGTGCAGTCTTGTCCTCGTTTGCTCGCAGCAGCAGTATCACTATACGATACTGTGCTGTTTTGAGTCGACTGAAAAACAGCAGTAGTATCACGATACGATACGATACTGTGCTGATCTTCTTGTTGCCTTGCCGTTCCACGTGTCGTGTCGGTCGCTAGTCGCTCCCTCCGTCCACCACAGTCCACCTCACGTGATCTGCCCATCTGCCGCGTTCCTGCTGGGCTGCCCGCTCAAAGGGGTGAGAGCAGGGGCGGTGGGGGGTGGCATTCTGGTGCGAGTGCAGACGGTCGCTTGCTCTCACATGCTGCTGCTCTCCCTTGCCCCTCCTCCCCCGCCCCCTCCTGCTGAAGCTGTTGCTGCTGCTGTTATCCCTCTTATTCCTCCTCCCACTGCCCCATGCCCCGCCAGCACCCCATGCCTCGCCAGCACCCCATGCCCCGCCAGCACCCCATGCCCCGCCAGCACCCCATGCCCCGCCAGCACCCCATGCCTCGCCAGCACCCCATGCCCCGCCAGCACCCCATGCCCCGCCAGCACCCCATGAGGTGTCGAGTGTTAGGAGAGGGGGGACGATACACTGGCGCAGGGACGATACACTGGCGCAGGGACGATACACTGGCGCAGGGACGATACACTGGCGCAGGGACGATACACTGGCGCAGGGACGATACACTGGCGCAGGGACGATACACTGGCGCAGGGACGATACACTGGCGCAGGGACGGGAAGGAATGGCTGGGAGCAGTTTTTGAGTCCACCTAGCCACATGGGGAGGAGGCAGTGGTGTAGGGATGGTGGAAGGCGGGTGGGTGAAAGTGGGTGGGGCAGGGTTGGACAGGAGAGAGGGGCGAGGGGAAGCAGCAGGGGGGGTGAGGGCGGGAGGAGGCGAGGTGAGTGGAGGAGAGCTGGCAGGAGGAGCGGGTGCAGAGGAGTGGAGATGGGTGGTGATGATGGGTGAGAGATGGGTGGGAGTCTGAGAAACGGTTGAGAGTGGATGATGGTGGCGGTGCAAGGAGCGTGTGGCGTTTGAGCGTGTGTGCATTGATACCCGGCCGTGGTGTTCGTTGATAACCCGGCCGTGGTGTGCGTGTGTCATGGATTACACACCTGAGCACAAGGTGAGGTGAGTCAAATTGCTGCTTGTTATGGCAAAGAAACGAGCTAAAGACAAATACCAATTTTACCGTGAATATTAAGTCGGCTTGAAAGCAAGCCAGCTGCTTTTCAGATTCTGCACCCATTCAAGGTGGGTTGTGAGTGAGTTGTGACCAGCTTGCACGTTGAGTCAGGTTCCTCACTTCCAGTTCCGTGGTTTGGAAGGCCAATGCTGACTGTTTTTGAGGCACCTTAAGGAGCAAGACAATGCGAGTCAACGCGAGTCAACGCGAGTCAATGCGAGTCAATGCGAGTCAATGCTGATTTGGCAAGAGTTTGACCCGACTCCCTGCCCATGCCATGCGTTCCTAATTTTCACCTCTCCCGCTAGCAGCACTGCACTCCGCATGCCTGCTGCTTATGTGCCCGTCCCCCCTGCCCCTTCTTCAAAACCCCCTTGCTTCAACCCTCGTCACCCCCTCTCGTTTCCAATCCACCCTCCTTCCCCAGCTAGCAGCTGTGCATTCCGTGCGTCTGCTGCCTGTGTGCTACCCCGCCCTGCCACTGCCACCACGTGTGTGTGAGGGAGGGGAGGCATTGCCGTGGTCCTCCCACAGGCTTGGGCGGCAGCAGGCTGGGCGGCAGCTGGCAGGGCGGCAGCAGTGAGCAGTGGAAGATAATGCGGGTGGGAGAGAGGAGGCCCAAAATGGGTAGATCTGGTGGATTCTAGGGCCCAAACGGAGCTCTGTCCTTTGCCCTTGCTCTCTGGGAGTGGGTAGATTGGAGGATGGACATGCAGTGTGGGAGGATGATAGGAGTGAGAATGTAGGTGAGTTTCATGCGAGGAAGGAAAAGGACAAGGCTGTCGGTGGTGGGAGTGAGAGGGAGGAGGAGGAAGAGCGTGAGATGGACGAAGAGGAGAAAGAGTGGAACACACAGGGGGAGGAAGAAGAGAGAGGGGGTGATGGAGAGGCGGAAGGGGTTTCAGCAGATGAGGGAATGGGGGAGCAGCGCGCAGTGAGGGATGAGGAAGGGCAGAAAGGGTGCTGGCGCCACCTGCCTGAGGTGAGTAATTGACGAGCAGGAAGGGGGGGAGAGGGGTGTGGTGGAGGGGTGCTGGAAGATGGGGCTGGGAGGCGGGGAGATGAGATGGGACGACCAAAGAGGAGAGTGGGAGACAGTGAATGGTGCGAGCATGGAAGGGAGTGGTGAGAGATGAGGATTTGGAAGCAAACGAGAGGGAGGGGGGAGGGGGGGCAAAGAGCAGTGAGTTGAGAAGTGCAACGGACGAGGCAGATGGGGAGCAGGGCCCTCGCTAGGTTTTGGGCCTGTCTGAGAGTATAATTTTTTTTTTTTTTTTTTTTTTTTTTTTTTTTTTTCTGACGCCAAGATGACCAAGTTTCTGTTGTCTTACACTTACGGTAAGACGAAAAAGTCTACACAGTCTGATCCATCAGACGAAAAAAAAAGCCCCGTCTGAACCTATTACAAAGTAATGATTTGGGGTTTAGCTCTAACTATTTGCGCAGGGTCTTCAGGCTTCTTCTTAAACATGTTGCGCAGAGACTGCAGCCACTGCCCAAGTTTCCTCTCGCGCTTCGCCTGGTTCTTGGGATATGACCCTTGCTTGAACAGCTTCGCCCCGTCAAGGTTGGCGAGGTCCTTGAGTCGGAAATCCAGCCAGCCCGATCAACGTTGTCACGAACGCGCGCGCCAACTCCAAACACGCACCGTGGTCCGCACCGCCCTTCTGCCCCTTGATGGGGTCCTCGTGGAGTGTGTAGGTGAGGTCGCTTGATGTACCGTCGGCCGCCTTGCCAGCCACCTTCACCTCCCGAGACTCCCGGGACGCGTGCTTCTTGAGAAAAGGGCCCAAAGCATCTCCGCCCTGGCCGAAAGAGTCGTCGTCGCTGTCGAGGTAACAAGCGCGCAGTAGCAAGGTAGTGTTGTGAACCATCAGCAGCACATGGGTCGCGTGAACCTGAAATGAAGCATAAAATAGGTTAGTACTTGACGGGTAGTTAAAGTAATACGAGTGTCTTGCATATTAAACGCTCACCTGGCGGCGCTGGAACTTCAAGCTCAGATTGTTGAGCTCCTTCAGGACACCCGCAAGGAGAAACAACATGAACTGAAACTTGTAGCTAGTGATGACCTTGTACATCTTCTTGTCGAACTCGTGCAAGACAAACACTGCCGCCGGAAACACGTTCACCAAGCGGCCGATAGCTTGACCGCGAGACAACCACCGAACGTCCTTGATCCCTTGAACTTCGAGGTTGGTCTCGAAGATGACCTCCTGCAGCTCAAGAAAACGTGAGTGGACGAACGAAGACCGACCAAGATTTTCAGCAACGTAGTGAACCACCTTGTCCACGATGTTGAGGTCCGTGTGTTTGATCGCGGCATCTTTGGCCGCCAAGGCCTCCCTGCAACGCATAAAGACGGAGAGTTAGAAATCACGAGAGCGTAAACAGAAAAACACAAAGCAAGAAGCCAGCATACAACGGAAAGTCCCACTTGCCTGTGCGCGATGCAGTGTGATGACACGATATGTGGAACCTTCTCTTTCAGGCGCGCGGTCACTCCGTTGTGCTGGCCGATCATGACACTAGCTCCAACAGTGCTCATACCGGATATGTGCTGGAGATCGATGCCGCTACACTCCAAATGGGTAAGGAGAACGGTCATGAGAGAAGCGGCGTCACAGTGGTCCACAGTCAGCAAGGCGTAAAACTCAGTGACGGGAGCGTTGTCACGCATGAACGTCATGTAGACGATCATGTGTTTGCCCTTCCTCCGGTCGGTACTCTCGTCCAGCTGGATTCCAAGGTATGGACTCGCGCGGATGTGTTTCAGCTGGCGGGATTTCAGGTAGCACACCATGATCTCCACCAGTTGTGCAAAGCCGTACCTGAAATAAGGCGGGATTGCTATCATTGGCATCTCTTCGAAAGCAAACTACAGAATTCAATATACGGGACACTTACTCGCTGTAATATGTCCCGTTCTCCTTAAGGGGCATATCCGGAGTCCCCTGCTCAGCCATGAACTGGACGAGTGACACAAAGAGCACAATGGGCGCGTCAGACTTGCAAATGAATAAGACAATAGACATGCAAACGTGCAAGGCGCTTGACATCCTCGTCCCCTTGGTGGAAGTCAACGATGGACTTCTGTCCTTTCTTCGCGTCGTCGCGTTGTTCCTTCTCCCGGACCGCCGCCTCATGCTTCAGGCTGTGATGATGCTTGCGCATCGTCTGCTTCTGAATGTCGATGCCACCAACACCGTAGCGCCCGTACTTAGAGTGGGGGTCGGCGAACACCATGCAGATGCTGCATGCAGGGTCGGCCATCCTTGGTTTCGGAGATGAAGAGCCATGGAAAGTACTGCTGCCACTGCTCCTTGCACTTCAGCTGAAGCTCTTCAACCGACAACTGCTTGCCTTTGGGGTCCTCGAAGTCCTTAGCTGCAGGTTCGGGGGCCACGGGTCGCGTCTCCACAGACGGTGCCGGCTGAGTCGGACCGCCCGGACGCGCGAAGTTCAGCACACGCTGCTTGTACCGCCCTTGTGATGACCTGTCGGGCAAGACGAGGCTAGCCCTGAGAGCGGATTTGGTAGTGTCAGATACTACGCAGACGTTATTATCGGCACCGCATGACGGCATGCGGGTAGATACTGGCGTAGTTGGTGTTGCGGTCGATGGCAGAGAGTTATCGTCATTATCCGGCAATGGCGCATCATCAATAGGCGAGGGTACCGCAACAGATGTTGAAGCAATCGGTGGGGCGACAGGGGCGATTGGCTTGGCCCGCGTTAGGAAGTCTAACGCTGAAAACCTTGGCGCAGCAGCGATGGGGCCGGCCATAGCCTAAACGAGATGATAGAAATTGTGATGAGGGACCATGCTCGGCTGGGTGAGAGAGGTGAGGTGGACGAGCTCCTCAACGAGCCTGTTTAACAAGCCTCGCTCAGCTGCATGAAACCCCCTCATCGAGCAGTGTGAATCAAAAGGCGATGCGTGAAGGGAGACGGGGAAGGACAACCATCGTCCAAGGTTACGTAACGTGTAGGAAAGGAAAGTGCGCAGGCACAATGTGACAGCGCGTTGCTGTGGCTGTGGCTGGCGTCAGCACCGATAGCCAGCTACACGACAGTCTCATGGCAGCAATTGCCGCAGGTTCGTGACAGCGAGGCTGCTACAAGACAAGCACATTGAATGCGCGTGCAGGTACATGGCCTAGTGGTAGCCTAGTGGTCCAATGGCCTAGTGGGCTAAATTGTCGGTTTCAGACGAAAGCGAGCGCGATATCTGTAAAGTTAGACGAAGTGTTCTACATGGTCTGGAAAATCATACGAACGTAAAGCATTTGTCTTGGGGTTCGGATGAACAATATCGAAATTTCTTAGAACTCAGATGAATGCAAAAATCACGTCTAAGAATCAGAAATTCAGACCAAATTGGTCTGATAACGAGGGCCCTGATGGGGAGGAGTGGTTGCAAGGCGATGGTGGGGGGACTGGGGCGAGGAGGGAGGGGAGTGGATGGGATGGGATGATGAGGACGAGCGGGCAGAGAAGGTTGCCCGTAAGGACGAGTGGCGGAAGGAGGGGCGTGCGTTGACCTTTCTGCACGAGGAGAGAAATGGAAGCAGCTGGAAGGGGAGCAGGTGGATGCAGCGCAGGGCGTGTGGGGCGTGTGGGGTGTGTGGGGCGTGTGGGGCGTGTGGTGTGGGGTGTGTGGGGCGTGTGGTGCGGGGTGTGTGGGGCATGCCGGTGGCTAGATTCTAAGGCTATTTTTCCGCCCAACACCTCTCAATACCAAGTGTTACGAGTGCAATTGCGTGATCAAGAGAGATCTGCAATATTGAAGCAAATAATACAATAAGCGCAGTCATGAACGAATTGTTATATACAGAAAGCATTTCGACAATGGTAACGCGCTTGAGAGAGGGTGCCTTACAGGCCTGATGCAGAGTCTGGGAAATGTCGAGGCGTATGAGTGGGTCGTGTGAAACTATGAGCAGAGGAATGAATTGACTAAGTCAGAGTTGGGTACAAATACAACCCTAGCAAACTGTACCCCATATGTGCTACCCCACTATAGCCTACAAACATGCATCAGCTATAATAATCTGACACACCCCCATAGGCAAAGTGGGGGAGAACAAGGGGTCACAAGACCAGTCAAGCAAAGCAAAACAAGCTCAGGGTGGATCACAAAGTCACCACACAGTCCGAGCACAAGAGCAAGGCCAGAGGCCAGTTCACATGCAGGAGTAAAGACATATATATAAAACTAGACAAGCAAGAGCAGGTATATATATGTCAAAGTACAAGTAAAGTCAAGAAGAGAGCAAGTGAGGCAAGACAGGTACAAGACCCAGCTGGGTACAAAAGCGCTGATGGTCGCAAGGCGCAAGTGCCTTGGTGAACACATCAGCAGTGTTGGCCTCAGAGGCCACGTAAGCAAGTCGCAACTGACCACGCTGCTGCAGCTCACGAGCAAGGAAGTAGCGGAGAGCAATGTGCTTCGTTCTGTGCTCCAAGCGCTGCTCTCGACACAAGGCCAACATGGCCTTGTTGTCTACGTACAGCACTGGAGGAGAACGAGGCAGCTCTCCAAGGTCAGTCAGCAGGTAGGTGAGCCAGCGAAGCTCCTGTGCAGCCATGGCCCCGGCGTAGATCTCAGCCTCACAACTGGAGCCGAGAACCGAAGACGAGCGAGTAGACCGCCACGAGACAGAGCCGGAACCAAGGCTGAAGGTGTAACCCTGTGACGACCGCTGCGTAGCCTGGTCGTCAGCCCAAGAAGCGTCTGCGTGCCCAGTAAGGACCACTGGACTCCGCCCTCCAAGCACTAGCCCCATGCCCGACGTACTGCACAGGTAGCGCAATACCCTCTTCGCTGCAGCCATGTGCTCTGGTCGGTGTCTCCCAGGAGCAACATAGCGTGCAAGGATGCTCAGAGGGTATGCAAGGTCAGGTCGAGTGCAGGTCATCAGGTACATGAGGCAGCCAACAAGCTCTGCATACGGACCACTCGACTCTACGGACTCATCCGAAGGCAGAGCT